TACTAGGTGGTTCGTAGAATTTAGAAGCAAAGTCATAAAAGTCCTTACCAATACAAAGAAAACTATTGTTGCTTGAACTGAAACTTGCATGACACATGACATTTTGAGGGTCAAACACGTTTCTATAAACTGTCAAATCTGTTGGTGGGCGTATAAACCAGAACGGACCGTCAGGTGGTAATGGTTCGTTCTGGTTTAGTAACCGAAGAAATTGTGCCCAAGAACGTTTGTCTACTTGCCAAAATAAAAACTGTGTACTTCTTGGAGGGTTAATTTCAATCCTTTGAAATGAAACGGTGGAATTCATCTTGTTGTATTCTAGTTTTAGATAGTATGTTCCATTTAGTAAAGAATCGTATTTTTCTTGAAATTCCCAGTAGTATTTGTTTATTTGAGTTTGAAAGTCATTTAGAGTTTTTTCAAGACTTTCGTCTGAACGAATTGTAAAGATTCTCATTTCATCAAATTTGTCTATTAGACCATCAGAACCTTCATATTGCCCATGAAAATATACTGCGAACATAAAAGCGTTAGTTCTATTTGAAAACAAAACTCTTCTAAATCCTATTGCCTTTGCATCTGAAGGACTTTGAAGCCAACGAATTGGAAAGTCAAACTTGTATGAACGGGATGAAATTTCTTCATCTGATATAGTCCTACCAGCGTTTGTAAAGATATAGTCTAACGGTTTTGTATCTGCTACTTTTGTTCTTTGTTTTTCAACCTGAAACATTTAATATATGTAAAAATATACTGTTTTAAAAAACGTTTTAAAATGGTATGCCATATAGCTTCTTGAATTTGTTGAGAAATATATGAACGCGTTTTCCATCTGTATCTCTAGTGTTTACATAAGCACAGCCTGCCTTAGTAAAATATACTTGTAATTTTCTATAGTTTACGCCCGTATAAAAGTAGAAAGAGTCCTGTTCTTCGCTATAGTAGTAAAACTCAAACGTATGCTTACCATAGTCTGTAATTTCAATTGCTTCATCTTCTAGTTCGTCGACAAATTCGAATACAATATCTCTAAATTTGCCTATGTTCTTACTGTTTTCAGAACAAGTGACCCAGCGTAAGTTTTCAAGTCTATTGTCGTTTCTTATATGGTTTATGTGGTCTACAAAAGGTAGATTGTTAGGGTTTGGTATAAAATGAGTTGCAATGACAACATGTTTAAAATAGTGTTTTCCACCAATCCTCATCCTAGCATATCCGTCATTTTGCTCCCATTCGCTTAAAACTCTTTTTGTCTTTTTGTTTCTGACTTCAAAAGGCTCAGAACAGTGAATTTCATATTTCTCATCTAACAAACAAGTTTCCCAACGGTCTTCTTCAACAAACTCAACGTACATTTCAAATAAAATAAAAAAATATATTTTTTTGAAAAAATGTTTTATTTTTAAATGGTATGCCATTTCATATTTTCTCATCTAACAAACAAGTTTCCCAACAGTCTTTTCCGACAGACTCAGCGTACATTTCAAATAAAAATAAAAAAATGTTTTTTTTTGAAAATATACTGTTTTCTTTTACTTTACATAACCTCCTGCTACCAGAAGTCTTTGACGCCAACCCATACCAGCTAATGAAGGTTGAGTTGGTTTAGTTTGGAAACTAAACTTTGGTTTTGGTTTATCTTCAGTTTTTGGCTCACCTTCTTCTATCGGTTTTTCGTCACTTTTCGGTTCCTCTGACTTTACCTCACCTGCAGGAACAGTTGTGTTGTCAACATCTTCATAAATATCATATGCCATTTGTTTTTGTTTTCCTTTCAACTTTTTGTGTTTGTTGTAAAGTTTAGAATATTTCGACTCTAAGTCAATGAGATGTTCTATAATGAACTGTTGGTCCGTGAAGTAAACTTTTCCATCTGCTGTCTCTTTAGTTCCTTCAGACTTCAATATTTTATTTGTGAGAGTCTGTTTCTTTTTTGAGATACTTGCCGTTCCATTTCTATGAAAAGTGACTTTATAGTTAGGGTTTGTATTTCCAGACCTGGCACTTTCTATTATTGAATTTTTCTCTTCATCTGTAAGTTCTTTGACAGGTTTTGACAATGGTTCTGAACTTTTTGTTTGTGGTGTCAAATCTACCGTTTCAACTTCTTCGGTCATTTCATCTCAGTAAAAAATTTTAGTTTGGTTTGTTTTCAACTGGTTGTTTAGGTTTTTTAAGTCGGTCTAAAACTTCCTGAGGTATAGGGAGGACTTGACAAACACGTGGTTGTGTAACTGCTGGAAGTCGACAAATCCATCTTGAACCCATTTGTCTCAATGCTGTATTGTTCATTTCATCTCAGTAAAAAAATTTACATTCCCCACGTTTGAGGCGGTTGCGGTTGGTTGTTGTTTACCCACTGTTGTGCATGGTTATATCCTCTGTTAAAGAATCTTTCACCTTGGTCCATATAGTGCCCTGCTTGGTTATAGTAGTCATTTGCTTTGTTATAGTAGTTTCCTGCTTGTCTTCCTACATTGTCCATCCATCCTTGAACTTTTCCTCTTGTTTCAGGATTTGGAATAAGATTTGCTGCATCTCGTGCTACATCCCAACCTTTCTGTACAGTTTGTATAATAGGCTGTGCTTTCTCTTTCAGTATACCTAATGTACTCAAAATCTTCCTTCCAACTCCAAATACACCTCTGGCTATTGTTCCCACTGCGGGCAAAAATCTGGATGCAACTCCTGCTAATGCGCCAAATAAACCCATTTCTTATGGGTTAAAAAATGACGAATCCAAACAAGGACCCCTATGTTTCTAAAGCGACAAAGAAAGCACTCATGGTAAAAATCTTTAGTTCAACACCAAATGCTTGGTTTATGGATATCTTGGAAAACATTCCGAGGTATAGAGAAGATGGACCACCATACTGGCTAATATTTGTCGGTCAAAACACAAGATACTGTGAAGCCATACCATTACAGTCCAAAAATATTTTAGATGTGAAAACTGCTTTGACAATATTCGTTGACAAATACCATCCAACAAAACTGACATCTGACTGTGAAAGTTCTTTCAAATCAGACGATATTAAAAACTATCTGCGTTCAAAAAATGTAAACCAATATTTCATTGTCGACCAAAACCATTCTGCTCTTGGTGTCATTGACAGTTGTATAAAAATCTTAAGAGACTTAAACCAACCACAAGGTGGTGAGGTAGATGAAATGTCATATGACGACAAATATAGACACTTCTCCATGGCAAAGATGAGACAAGTTTTAAATATTTACAATAACCGTAAACAAAAAGGTTTGGGAAACCACTCCCCGAAGAAATGAAAAACAACCCTGACTTAGAGAAAGACTATATATTTAATAGTTTAGTCAAAAGAGACAAACAAGAAAGAATGCCAGGCTTCAAACTTAAGAAAGGTGACAAAGTAAAAATAGAAATACCTAAACGCGACCCATATGAAAATACTATTGACTATGACAACAATGGGAACTCGACAGGTACTCACCTTCGTGTTCGTAAAAATAGAAGAAAGTATACAAGAGAATATTATGAAGTTTTAGGCAAACATGGCAAAATGTACAGACTGCAAGCAGAAGATAAAACTACTATTGTCAGACCTCGTTTCAAACTTGTTAAGGTTCAAGGTGGTATACTTTCAAAGACAGTTCCTAACAAATATAAGACAACTCCTGACGAATATGCTAAAGAAGTTGAAAATGACGACTAAGCAATTCTATACCATGCACAAACTGTCATGTAAGGTGGCATGTATTTTTTACCTAGTCCTGTAGATGTTGTTGTAAAAGTATGTTGGTGGTTTCCTCCTGGTTCAGTTTGTCGAAAAGTCTTTTTTGCTGAATGGTTATAATCTGGAGATAAAACGTCATAGCCAGCTTCATACTCTGAGTTGTATAATGGGGGTCTCTTAATGAGTGGCTATGGTCGCCAGAAAGTTTGTTGTACCAGAATGACTATGTGGTGGCAAGTTGTCGACAGATATCGTTTTACTTCCACCTGTTTTCTTTGGAGTGTGTGCACAATACAAAAAACTTTCGAGTATTTGAGTCCAAGTTCCAAAACCAAGTACTACTTCTGGTCTGGTAGAGTTCATTGACGTGTAAATAGAACCAACTGGGTAAATGGTTTGAAGTATTTCTGTCTTTAATGTTTGAAGCTCTGTTTTGTCAGCTTTTTTATCATATAAATCTTGAGCAGTGAATTTAACTTTTTTTTCATCCTCCATGACATAGACATTTCTACATTTAATGTCTTTCATCGTTGTTATGTCGTCATCCGATGTTAAACCTTGTGGAAAGTTAGGAGGTTTACAATATAATACATCCCCACCAGTTTCTTCAACCGTTCCTTCAATACTTTCTATAGCAACAGTTGTAAAACTTGTATGTGTATGGTTCTTGTCAGCTTTGTCATCTAACTTTTCTTGTAAGTTTGCAATATTTGCAATGGTATGTGTATGTCCAACGTCACTTTTCCTGTTTAAGGTTTCTTGTAAGTTTGTAATATTTGCAATGGTATGTGTATGGTTCTTGTCGGCTTTAAGGTCTAAACATCCTGAAACCCACCCTGTATTGGCTTTACCTTCTAAAATCTTTGTTGTCCGTTCATGGTACCATTCAACCATTTCTTTAATTTTTTCATCCTTTTCATTCACATATTCCTTATCTGCCTTCTTCACTAACGCACTAGCCACACGTGCTAACTCATCGTCAACATACTCTTTGTCAGCTTTGTTGTCAACATCTGCTTTCAAAAGAAGTTCAGATATAGGTTTTTCGTTTAAAGTTCCTTTTGTTGGATTTACACAGACAGTATGGTTCTTGTTGTCTTGAAACAGAAACTCATCTGTCATTGGGTTTAATGTCAGTTTTAAGTTTCCTTCTTTCAATGACTCAGATATCTTAGAATAGTTTGAAAAGTTTGTTGTGTTCTTATTTAGAGCTTGTACAATGAGTTGTCGGTTGTGTTGTATTTCTCTCATAGACGCTGTTTCTTTCGACATTTTTATTCTAGATAAAATATGCTTTCAATAGAAAAAGAAAATTCAAGAGTTGCTACAACTAAACCATTAGATGAACTTTTTACGAATGTCGGTCAAAAGTTTGAGACAGAGACCGTAAAGCATGAAGGCTATCGTTTTGACTACCCGTTAAGATGGTTAAGAGACCCATCCGTCACAAAAGCTATTGGCTTTCGTAGAATGAAATTCATTTCAGAAGCCATACATGGTTTCCCATTTACGGTCGCTTTTGAAGTTCGATACTATAACAAAGAAAAACGTACGTATGAGAAATTTGAACAGGGAAAACTTTTACAAGTGAATTTGCTTGTAAACTTAGAAACAACTCTTCAAGCTTTTCAAGAAAAAATAAACGATATCTATCTCGAATATGCAAAACAGTACAACATTGACGAAGGAGAGTACCATCTCGATATTATATATGACAGGAAAAATGCAACTGTTAAAATCAATAGAATAGAAGACCTTGGAGAAGACGTTTATATTTCTACAAAATATAACAACTTGGCATGGTATAGATTTTTGAGGATGTTAAATCAGCCTGCAGAATATCCAGTACACCCGAACTTTTATGAAGTCGAAAACCCTAATGGAACATATGAAAATGTTTTCGACTCAGATGCTATTATAGTTCATGCTTCATTTTCTGGTGCACAAAACTCTTTTTTATGCTTGGCAAATGACTTTTACGAAAAACCTACAAAGCTATATGAACCACCAAGTGGAAGTATTTCAGACTTTCAAGTATGGTTACTACAGATGGAAGAAAGAGAATAATTCCATTATACCACGCGTTTTACTTAGAACTTAGTTTCATATACAACTACTATCGAACGGTAAAAATATGATTTTTTAATACGGTTGAGGTGTTGGATTTGGTTGCCAACTAGACTGTGGTGCAGGTTCAGGCTGTTGTATAACAGGAGCTTGTTCTTCTGGTTCAGGGTCTTTAGGTATAATACCAACAAACTGACCTACTCTTTTTACCAATATTTTTGACACCGTTCCATACTCCTCTTCCGACAGATTTTATTCCATTCCATATACCTCTTCCAACATTTCGAAAGAAGTTTCCTATTCTTCCAAAGAAACCCATTTTACTATATGTAAAAATCTAATGTCCGCCTAGTCTCTTACGTTTCCTGTTGAGTTCCATAGCATTCTTTAACTGGAGCTCATACATTCTGTTTCTCCTCTGGTAGAAAACATATTCTGGGTCAACTCCTGTGTTCGCGTCATCTGCATAAAGTTGTTTATATCCCACTTCAGGGTTTGTATAAAACTCTTTCCATCTCATATTTGCATACCATGGTGGCAAACCTAACGCAGCGTCATTTGACATGGCAGTTTGCATTTGTACATCTGTTGGCACTTGACCATAGTTTGCCATTGCAGTTTGTATTCTAACTTCATTTGGAATATTCTCTGGGTTTGGTTGTCCAGGTTGCTGTGCATTCGCTAAGTTCTGTGCGTCCATTTAATATTAGATAAAAATATCTCTTACGAGTACATATACTGAACATTTGCAGGCATTGGTTCATCTTTATATTCTCTGTACTTTTCTGCCACGTCAAATAAATAAATGACACAATGGAAAAAACCTAAAACAAGTAGTCCTATTTCAAACCACATTTACTTACCAATAAAATTTCTTTGTTATGACACTTTCTCCAGTTTATAGACCTCTCTCATATTCTATCTTGTCATATCTAAACTCATAGTCATGTATGTCCTCTAACCATCTCATAACACTTTCCAAACCACTTTTATCGGATGTAAAGTAAAAGCATGGATGGTTATGTAAAACGTCTAAAGTTTCTAAAGAGTCTCTCAAAGTCCAGTCTACTTGGTATTGAAAATCCCATGTGTTATAGAACGGCGGGTCCACTATAAAGAAAACATTTTCCTTGTCTTTATATTTTTCATACAACTCTGTCCAATGACATCTCACAAACTCTATACCCTCAATATATTTTCTATGTTCTCTTTGAAAACATTTGTATAGTTAAGATATAAAACTTTTGACATAAGTGTTTCAATGTCATGAACTCTTATAGCACCACTATATAATAGTCTAGCAGATATACTATCCCAGTCAATATACTCTGCCTTTTTCAAAACCTCTCTGACAGTATTTTTCTTATCTAATGGTATACGTTCCATCTTACCTATAGGTATCTTTTCTTTTAACTCTTTCAATATATTGTTTGTGTCTGGAATATGTTTGAGACGGTCCATATAGTTGTCGAAGTCATTGCATATAATCTTTGAGTCAGGAAATATTGTATGGCACAAATGAGATATATAGAAACTTCCACCGAACAAGTCTACAAATGTTAGACCATTCGGTAGTTTCTTAAGTTCTCTCAATAGAATATCTTTACATCTACTCTTATTTCCAAAGAAGGGTAACGGTGGTTTTGTAAAATTCATTTATATATATATAAAAAATGTTTTTTCCTGAAAAGTGACAGAAAAGCTCCTGGAAGCCCTCCGAATAAAAACTTCATTTATACTAAACATCTTCGGGGCTAGAGGGCACGAAGTGCCTGGAAGCCCCACTACCTTTTTTTTTTTTTTTTTTTACTCAAATATATCAAAAGTTTTATTTTTATATATAAAGATAACTACTTTTAAAAAAAATACCCTATATATTTTTGCCATGTAAACTACTTTTGTCATGTAAACCTGTCATTTTTTGTCAGAAGTGAAGTGAACCGAATTTTCATGCACAACAGCAATTTGTAATATCTATCCAAAACTTCTTCAACAGTATCGAACTCATCTTCATAATGCAAACCTAATCTTATTGACTTGGTGCAGTTTTCACTAACACAATATTTTTCTGTTCTCTTGACTGACATAACTAACTCATTTGTTTCATCAAACAGCAACAACCAAAGTTCATGACCTAATACATAACATTCATACTTTATATTTTTAGCTCTGAGTTCTCTTGTAAGCTGTTGCATTTAATATTTTCTAAAAAGTCAACTTCAACAGTCATTCGCACTGGTGCCTTCAGTTCTACAGGCTCTCCTTGAAAGTCAACAAGTCTGAATTGCATGTCTTTCAAATTATGAGGACTAATGCGAACCCATTTACCTAAATGAGTTGCTATGACAGGAACGTTTGGAATGAACATTGAATTACTTCATAACAGAAAGACTTATATTCTACTGAACCTTTACTATTAACTCCTGAAATGCCTGTGACATTAGCTATTTTAGACTCAATGTATAAACAATTACCATAACATACGTATGGAACAGATTTCATCTCAATCGTTTTGTCAACACTTTTCAAAGGAAATGTCATATGGTATGCACCCAAAAGAAGTTGTACTCTATGACTCATTCTTGGTATCTTAAACTCCTTCACATAACTGAACTTCAAAACTCCTGCAATAAGTTTAACATTCATTAAGTTTTCTTCGTTATCCTTGTTTATTGTAGTATTTATGAGAGCATTTAACACTCCAGCTAATGTTTCCATCTTATATTCTACATTATTGTGAAATCTTATTTCGTGCTTCTTTCCATCTATTTCAATCTCCATGAAATCTGTTTCATCTGTTATAACGAATGAAGCGATAGTATTGAAGTCAACCATTCTGAATGCAAGCGCCTCATTCTGTAGACCTAAGTTTGTTTGTAGCTTTACTGTCCCGTATTCGTTTGGGTCTGTACTTTGCAAATAGAACAACATTTTATTCTCATTAAAATATGAGTATAGCTGCATATGCGTATGAAGCTGACAGAGCTAAACGTTTATATTTTGGTCAATACTCTCTCACACTTACTGACAAATATATTGTTATCACTGATGGAAATACTGAGAAATACATAACATGGAAGGACTATGAAAAGTTTGACCCTATTTTAACTCCATGTACTATGCCATTCATTGTAAATGGTGAAGTTGTCATGAAGAACGACACAACAGTATATAAGTCTGTTCATGAAGCGTTAGAATATATGTTGAATCATAACCCAAAAAGATTTGACCCAAGCACTACACCATGTGCAATGCCTTTTATTAAGGACGGTGAAATCGTAAGAGTTCCGGATTCAACGGTTTACACAGCTGTTCAAAACAGTTTACAAAACATTTTAGCGAATATCTTTAATTCAGAAACTACAGAAATGAAATTACCATATATAACAGATGCTAAAGAAATTAAATCAAAAACGACAACATTATTTACGTCACTTAATGATTTAATGACTTATATAATTAATACTCCTTCTCCGACTACGGCATTTGATCCAAACTCGACGGTTTGCAGTGTACCTTTCATAAATGACAGTTCATTAATTACTTTAAGGGATTCAACAGTTAATGAATCATTAAAGGCTTCATTAATGAAAATCATTGATTTTAACTCATTCACGAATACATATAATTCATTCATTAATGTTTCATATGCTTCTAAAGAAGGTGAACCAAAAACTATTGATAAAGCGGTGTATGAAATAAAAACATCAACGACAAAATTGAATTCGTTAACTTTTGACGGTGATAGTTTCGTTAATGACATAACATCGGGGAAAACAATTTTAACGAAAGAATACTTAAAATCTCATGTTAGTGAGTTCGTTGAAATTGAAAAAGAAGGTGGAATTAAGTTCGATCCACTGAATTTCATTTTCAGCTTAGCGAATGCGGGTGTTAGTTTCGCTGAATGGACAACTATACAGAGTGAAATAAATGCAATATGGACGTTTTTGGGGTCAAAAGCGGGAATGGGTGAGCTTGTAAATGCTGCAAGAACATTAGGTGAAACGGGAAATTTTGTCGATGGTTTTAAAAGACTTGTTTCAAACGTTTTGACAAACACAAAGAAATCATTTAGATATACCGTACATAACGGACGGATTTTCGAACAGATAGCAACAAACCCTCCGGTTATGGCTGCGTTGATGATGGTTAGAGATATAAAACCACGTAACGACGGGAACGAAGAACATGAACAACAGGATACTGGTCGGGTTATTCGAGACATTAAAAACGTGTATCCTGAAGTTATTGATTTATTTAGAGGAGTTAATGATTCAATTTCAAAACATTCTATAACCCTCGATGAAGAGAATAAATTAACAGATTATATATTCGTCATTATTGCAGAACTAATGAAGAGAATAAATGAAAAAGGAATTGGTGATATCATTAATGTCAGCGATGTAATGATGAAAAGAAATTTTGACTCATTATTTACAGAACCGAAAACAGAATATAGTCTTTATGACGTAATTACCGAATTAATGAAAAAGATTAATGATAATAAGAGTTCTGGCGGAGGAGTTGAATTAGAAGTGAATGATGTTAATGAGAAATAGCCGAAAAAGCAGACAAAAATGAGCTTTTAGCTCTGAGTGATAAAGTCAAGAACCACGTTCATTATATAACTTCAGACGAACAGATTATAACGGACTACCATGGATATTTAACACGAAGTGATGAAGCGAAGACAAAAAATGTTAATGAAAGAAGATATAAATACATTCGTGCTAAAGGTTATGACATAAGCTGTACTGTACAGTATGATGTAGCTAAAGCACCAGAAGCATTTGGTTATACCGGTGAAATTTATGCCTCTACTTTCAATGTTAACGGTGTATTAGTTGAACCAAAATTTACGTTGAGAGTTAAGTCAAAAATAACGTTTGAAGATGCTATTAAAAGTAAAGCTGACAAAGTTGAACTCGAAGCAATGAACAAAGTTTTGAAATCTCATAAACACAACATCTCCGATATAAATGAACTTCAAGCTACATTAGACAGTAAAGCCGACAAGAACCATACAAACGAATCCTTCACTACTGTTAGAGCAGACGATGTAATATTGAACTATACTCTCGGTTCAAGCGCACCTTCAGAGAATCCGAGTACAAGCGTAAAAGATACACTAAACAATTTAGATAACAGATGTATGAACATTGAAGGTCATGTCAGAAACTTTGAAGCATACACACTACCAACAATGTTAGACAAGAAAGCCGACAAGAACCATACACATAAATCCTTCACTACTGTTAGAGCAGACGACATAATATTGAACTATGATTTGGGTTCAAGTGCACCTTTAGAGAATCCGAGTACAAGCGTAAAAGATACTCTTAACAATTTAGATAACAGTTGCAGGAATATCGAAGATCATGCCAGAAACTTTGAAGCATATGAACTACCAGCAATGTTAGATAAGAAAGCAGACAAAACAGAGCTTCAAACATTAAAGACTGAAATACTTCAAACATTATATCCCGTTGGTTCTATTTATACGTCAATGAACTCAACAAATCCAGCAAGTGTTTTAGGTTTTGGTACGTGGAAGCAGATTGTAGATAAATTCTTATACTGTGCTAACTCTTCAAAGCAAACAGGAGGTTCGAAGAAAATTAAAGAAGCAAACCTTCCACCGCACACTCATACAGGAACTACAAACACAACAGGTAGTCATTCACATTCAATAACAAAAAGAGGTTATACAAATCTTGCAGCAGGTTCGGATAGACAGGGAATGCATAGATATGATATTTCAAGTGACCCAGTAGATTCAAGCGCAGGTATTTTCTGTGGAACCACAGGAAATCATTCACACACTTTCACAACAAATCCAACAGGCTCGGGTGCAGATTATATGCCACCAGTTGTGACTATATTCGCATGGTACCGCGTTCAATGAACGCGCTTGAGCCTAGAATAAAATCTTTAACTTTACATAAATGAGCTTGAAAGAAGTATTCGAACAACATCCATGGAGGTCATTTAAGAAGTTCAATGAAGCTGCAAAGAGTTGGGGATTTACTAACAGAGCTGAAGTGAAAAGGTTCTTTGACAAAAATGTTGGACATCAAACAAAAATAAACCCTTACGACTACTTTTTACCAATTTACTCCAACGCTCCTGACGCATACCAATTTGACACTCTCATTCAAAGCAGAAAAGGAGGACATAAACCATTCCTCATCTTCATTAATGTTAACACTCGTAAAGCTTTTGCGTATATAATGAAAAATAAAGGAACTCGTGAAGTGTTAAGAGTTTTACAAAAGTTTGTAGCAGAACATAGCCCAAGTACTTTAACATCAGACCAAAACAGTGCATACCTCAGCAATGAAATCACAGATTTTCTCATTAAGCATAACATAACTCACTACACTACTGAAGACCATAACCATAACATACTCGGCATCATAAACCGCTTCATAAGAACGCTCAGAGATTTAAACCAAGAGCGAGACTTTACCGAAGAAACAATGAAACATTTTCTCGAAGTATATAATTCCTCAACACATTCTACAACAGGACATACACCAAATTCAATGACACAACAACAAGAAGAAAAGTATATACAAAAGAAACGAAGCCAAACACAAAATATCAGAAATTCAACACAATTTACCCTCATTCCTGGTACAAAAGTTCGTGTAGTTCTTGACGACAAACCGTTGACAAAGAAACGTTTAAGGTTAAGTAGAAACTATTATATCGTAGACTCTACGCAAGGTAATGGATATCTTATAAAAGCTGCTGACGACTCTATTGCGTTTTACCCTCGTCACAAATTAGTCGAAAGTAGTAATGGCAAACTTGCTGAAACCATTGACGAAGCAAAGCGAGGAGTGGTTATTGAAATACTTGGCTACAACATAAACGATGACACTTATAAAGTAAGATATGAAGGAGGCGTTGAAGATGTTATACCATCTAAGAACTTGAGAGAGTCAAAGTCAACACATCTGGGACCATTAGAGCAGGAGTACTGGAAAGACAAAAATAAGCCAGAAAGAATAAGAAAATTCTTCTAAACTTTTTCATTAGATGTAAATCAGACATGAACGAGAACAGTCATGATATCATTAATGGTACCATTTATTTTGTCATAAACGACCAAAAATAATGTTTAGGGTAGAAGGTTAGATCTACCCTCATTTCTACCCTCACGAATTTTCATGAATTCCTTAAGATAGAAAAAATAACGCTAATTTTTTCTAACAAATTTTTTTATTTTGTATGTAAGAACAGAAATGTCAGTCGAAGCAAAAACATTCACGAACAAATCTAATGGCGAAACATTCACAAAAGGCACTTATAACGGTATTGAAGTCTTACGTAGAGACAAGGATGGTTACATTAATGCAACAAAGATGGCAAGAGAAGCGGGAAGGTTAAACCATTTAAACAGATTTCTCAATAGTGCTAAAATGCAGGAAATTCTTGAGTTTTGGATGAACGAATACGGTCAAGCCAAAAGTGGCTCGACCTCAAAACAAGCATTTTATGAGCTTACTAAGGGTGTTATAAATGAATTCAAAGGTATTTACATACATCCTGACCTCGTTCATTTTGTTGCTGAATGGTGCTCTGTAAAGTATGCATTTTATGTCAAAGATATTATGGACTCCATAGACGAGAAAGTTCATGAGAAATTAGATGAAGAAGAACTTGAAGATACAATAGAGAATGCAAAACATTTGTTTGAAGAAGAAGTTAGGAAAATGCATGAAAAACAATTAGAACATGAACGTGAGATGTGTTATGGTTATAGAGATTCTCCATACGAACTAGACCAATGGGAACAAGAAGATTTAAAGAGAGAATTTAGAGAATATGAACTCGCTAAGATAGCATTAGAAGCTGCAGAAAAGAAGTTAAAAGTTTGGGGTCGTTTTGTACAAAAATATTGTGAGTAAATGAACCATTTTTTTGTCATAAACGACCAAAAATAATGTTTAGGGTAGAAGGTTAGATCTAACCTCATTTCTACCCTAGCCGCTTTGCGGCTCTGACCTTTGGGTCTCATGAATTTTCATGAATTTCCTTAAGATAGAAAAAATAACGCTAATTTTTTTCTAAGAAAAATTTTTATTTTGTATAAAAGATATGATTTCAACAATCGGCACAACAACAATTCAAACAACTTCACCAAACTCGTTAGTCATGAATCCAACATCTATGTTAGTAGAGATGAAAAGCTTCATTCCTTCTTCATATAGTTTTGTAACAGAAATACAAAGAATAAAGCAAGAACTTTTAACAAGTAATTTAGACTGTACCGCACAGGATGAAGAAAATGAAAGTATCTTTATGAAATGCAGGACATTATTGACCATTTACCCAAATTGCCTGAAATTCAACAAAAACTAACTATTCCTGAATTCGATGAAATGAAGTGAAACCAACTGACTCAGTAGAAATAAAGAAGTTCATACGTAAAGTAAACTATGAGTTTCTAGGATATCATTGCAACCATAAAGTTATGGACAAAGATTGCGACATGGTATATAAGAACATCTCTGACATATATAAATCTGGGGAGTTTAAGACATACGACAACTTTGTTTCATTAGTTGCAAAATGTGTATGGCAGATAAGAGATAAAGATAGAAGAGGTAAGGTATGGAATGAACAGATAAAACCAGCTGCTTCAGATTTAAAGAAAACCATTGACGCCTTAGTTGTTCTAGCAGGTAAGGTTTCAGAATATAACGCAAAAATGAACCCGCAATGTTCTAAATGTAAGGCAGCAATAAGGAAATATAACTACTCAGTAAAAGAGATAGAAAGAATGCGAAACGACTATGCAGACTTAAAGAAAGAAGCAGAAGCCGGTAGAAGATAAAATGACATGTTAGAATTTCTGAACAAAAACTATCCAACTGCTGACGATTTCCTTCTATCTGATGTCAAGAAGAAGTATAAAGAAACTTTCGGCATTGTTAAAACATTCGATGTACTAAAGAAGAAATAGAAGCTACAAAACTGTTTAGAGTCTCACGAATTCATAACGTTTACCATGTAAAACGGTTATAAATAATGAGGGTAGAAATGAGGGTAGAAATGAGGTTAGATCTAACCTTCTACCCTAAACATTATTTTTGCTGAAAAATGACCAAATTTCATGAATTTCATTAGTTAGAAAAATAACGCTAATTTTTTTCTAAGAAAAATTTTTATCTTGTATGTAAAGACAGTAATGTCAAACATTGAGTTTGAAACAGTTAGAAAGATAGACAATGACACCAAAGTGGTTAGAATTGGTGATTTAAACGTAAGATACTGTAAGAAATACAACAAATATTCTTTGTCAGACATTATATCTCCATCTGAAAAGAAAACAAACCACTGGGTTAGAAATGCTTCAACTCAGAAAATTTTGACAAGAGATCCTGAGCTTATGATATCGGTAAGATTCTATGGAACTACAGCATATCTCATTGACAAAAGTCTTATACCAATAGTTTTGTTATGGTTAGACCCAGTTGTTGGATATAACTTCATAACTTATGGTTCATTCGATACGGAACGTTGCAGTGAAGGCTTACTTTACATCGTTCAGAAACCGAAGGACTTCAACACAAAAAGATATAAGATAGGAAGGACATATAATATAACTCAAAGATATGACAGTACAGTCAATAGAGTCAAGGTTGTGTTTGTTAATGATATGAGAGCTGCTGAAACAGAACTGCTTGAAGTTTTTGAGAAAATGTATGGTGCTCCCACGAAAGGTAAAGAAACGTTTGAAGTAGATGAGATAGATAAAGCTATAAAATTATTTGACGAAGTTGCTGAAAAATACATGTAAAGCGTTTATTTTTGGTCTTTTGTGAAAGTCAGAAAATAACGCTAATTTTTTCTAACAAATTTTTTTATTTTGTATGTAAAGACAGTAATGACAACATTAGAGAACACAACAACAGTTATAGTCCATGAAGCCATAAATGAAGAATACGAATACATACAGTATAACAAACAATTACGTCTCATTCGTTCGGTCAAAGACGATATGTACCAAATGCAAAGTATAATGAACGCTCTTCGTTCTACAAAGCAAGCATATCATTGGTTTGAAAACCAACAGACAAAAGAACTTTTAGAAGAATTTCCTCATATGATTGCTTCCCTCGGAAAACCGAGAGAAGAGATTCCGTACGAAAATCGCAAGAATTTGGCTCCTGGTTTGAAAGGTTATTATGTTCATAGACTTTTAGTAAATGCTGTAGCAATGTGGGCTTCACCTCGTTATGCTTGTTATATTTTCATGATGTTAGATGAACTATATAAAGCAGAACGTGGAGAGATGGAAAAGAAACTTCAAGCAAAAGATGAAGTCATTGAATCCAAAGACAAAAGCATACAGAAAAGAATACCGCGTTCAGTACCAAAAGGAAAGGAAAAGAACTATAAGTATATGATTTATACTGAAGAGTTGGAGAAAGAAGAAGATAAAGATATGGTTATGTTGCATTTAGTCAGAAGAAACAACAAGAGCTTTTATGACTTAGCTAAAATATATAAATCTGACAGAAACTGGTTCTATCGTGAAAACTTACCGATTTCAATGACACCGAATGAGCAAAGAAAGGAAATTGTCAAAAATACTCTTCCTCAAACACACTATGACATCAAAGGTTGCACAATACTTACATTCAAAGAAGACTTAACATTACTGAAGGAAAAAATAACAGAATATTTCGATATCTTCAAAGAGGAAGAATGAAGTCACGACAACATTAACGAAGAAGTCACGACAACATTAACGAAGAGAGAATGAGGTGAAAAAAGAGGTGAAAAAACGGGTGAGATCTCACCTCTTCACCAAAAATATATTTTTGCTTAAATAGCTTCAGGGTCTATTTCTTCAACCATTTCACTTCCTTCGTCAATGTCAATAGAAGCTTCTTCAACCTTTGGTAAGAATTTCTGTATAACATCTTTGTTCGTTATTGTCTTCAGAGATGAAGGATAATATTTCACAGATGTTTCACCCTTCTTATATTCTTTCTGTTCGGAAAGATTTAAAGCAATACTGAAGAAGTCAATGTTAGAGTTCTTTATAACAGTATAATGAGTATCTTTGACATTCACGAAGAAACTCTTTTGTTTCAAAACTACTGCTAACTCTTGTGAAGTATAACGTTTGCGGTCAATGACGATAGCTAATGGTCTGACATACTGACCAAACTTAGATTCTTTCACAAACTTCTTGTTAAAGATAACATTAACATTTGAAGCATTATTGAACTCATTCTTGATGGCATTAGCGAGAGCATTGTATGAAAAGAACTTGCAATCTTGCATGTGTTTCATTAAAACAAAAAGTTTGAAATATTTTAAAACTAACCTTAAAAAATCTAAGCTAATTTTTTTCTAAGAAAATTTTTTATTTCCTACTAAAGATGTATCGGAAGTTGTCTAAGTTAGAACACTCGGAAATAAAACAACTTCTAACAGAAGCTAACATAGAAGTAGCAAAACATTACGCAACAAACAAAAAAGCACTCGCTGACATCCTCAATGACTACAATGGTGCAATAAGTTATGATAGAATTCATGAGTTCATAAAGCCGCAACGCGGCGAGGACGAAGTCCATGCAAGAGCATTTCCTTTAAATGACGTTGCCATTGACTTATATCATAGACGTTCAGTACCTCATGAAGTAAGAAGAGAAATGTTTGACATAACAAATGCAAACGTTGGTGAAACAAGAAGAAGAGACGACACACTGAAACAACAGAGAAGAGAGATGTTTAAGAGCGCTATAGAACAAGTTCGCAAAGCTAACGATGTCATTCGTTCCATTGACGACAAACCAAAAGAAGGTGAGAGATGGTTAAAGAAAGATGAAGAGAATAGGAAGAGAAATGTGAAGTCAGGCAATAGACTCATTGACTTTAACATCGAAGCTTTAGATGAACCAAACAGAGACTACTTACACAAACATTTCGGTAAGGTTTTCATGAGACTCTTAGAGAAGATTAAAATAAACTCACAACAGATGGATGGTATGTTATAAACTTGGTGGAAAGTATGAATGTTCTACGTTAAACCTCAATAATATTGGAACATTACTACATCAGCTCTTGAAGGAGAACTTTATATCAGAAATAGAAGCAAACGCTGCAGGTATTGTTGAAATGCACTATGACTTCTTCTTGACAAACATAAAGAATCTTACTGAAATAAAGATGTATGATTTAACTGAATATGAAGGCTTAACGATGTCAGATGTTAAGAAAGGAAAGCCACAGAAGCGACCATATAGAGATGAAAGCACACTGACAGAAAGACAAAAGATTTGAACAGACTTAACAAACAGGAGATAAACAAGATATAGATGACTTTGGAAGAAATCCTTGGTGAAAAGAAGTTTTATAAGAAGAGAAGCGGTCAGTTCTGGAAGTATCTTTGCACATTACCTATAAATCTTGAACGCTACCAAATCTTCAATGAACTGAACAAAAGAACTTCAGCACTTATGACAGAAGACAATTGTTTCGTTTATGCTTGCATTCAGGCTGGAGTAAATGAAGAAACTATTGACCACATGAGAGAAGTCATTCGTGTTAGAGACTTTCCTCAAAGTAAAGTACAAGAAATTTCTGACGCAACAGGTATAGCATTTAATGTTACCATTGGTTATTTCGACAACTCCAAAGATAACAGAATAATTCACTACATACCAAAAGAATGTGAAACTGCTCGAACTATTGACTTACTTCTTGTTGAAGACCACTACATGCTAAATGAAAGATTACCAATGACAACATATTTCATTCGCAACTATATAGAAATTCTCAAAGCTTGTGGTGGAATGAACATTGAGAAACAGATGAAGATTTATACAAAGAGAGAGAACAAATATGTTGTTCGTAATGATAGAACTACACCTCTATGGGATGTTATGAAAACATTGTGGGAGTGTAAATATTTCGAACCTATTTCTTATGGAGAACTTTTCACATATACGACTGACTTATATAAACAGAACCTTGCACCATTTAAAGATTTGACATATGCTCCAAAGTACTGTGTACAACTGAAGAAGAAAGCCGAGTCAAAAGAAGTAAATAAAAATAAGTGCAAGTTCATTCCTGAGCACGTTTTCTTTGCTGACTTTGAGTGCAGTACCGATGGCTTTCATAAAGCTTTTAACATATGTTACGACAGTGAAGATGGTTCAGTGAGTGAAAGCATTTGGGGTCAGAACTGTGCAACAGAATTTTTGGAACGACTTCCTGACAAGAGTTTAATATATTTCCATAACCTCAGTTATGATATAAACTTCATCTTAAGACACATGACAGAAGTGAAAGGAACTCCCATCATTAAAGGTTCACGAACAATGCAAATAACTGGCTTATATAAAGGAAGGGCAATTATTATAAAAGACTCTTACAGTGTTATAAATAAGAAGCTTAAACTATTTCCTGCTATGTTTAACTTACAAACAGGACCGAAAGAAGTATTTCCATACAACTACTACAGCAGTGTTTTGTTAGCAAATGACAACAGAACTGGTGTCATTTCTGAAGCATGTAAGTTTATCCGGGATGCAGATACATTCATGAAAAACATAGATTCCATCAAAGGTTGCAGAATAGATGAGAACCACTTCGACTTAGAAAAGTATAGCACATTTTATTGCAAACAAGATGTAAGAATTTTAAGAGAAGGTTTTGTTAAGTTCCGCAATGACATATTGAAAGAATTTGATTTAAACGTTTATGACTACGTTAGTATTTGTTCAATTGCTAACAAATTATTTGAGAACAGAGTGTACTTCCCGAATGGAAATTTATATGACCTCTCAAATAAACCAAGAGAATTTATTTCACGCTGTATTCAAGGTGGAAGATGTATGCTGTCAGATAACATGAAACAAAAGAGCGAAAAGAAACTCATTGCTGACTTCGACGCTGTTTCATTATATCCATCAGCTATAGCAAGACTTTATACTTTAGAAGGTATTCCAAAGGTTATGAAGAAAGAAATGTTAAGCACAGAGTATCTCATGAGACATTTATTCGATGACGACCAAAAGGAACCCATTGTGAAAAGTTTATATGTCTGGCTTCTTTGTTCTCATTAAGATAACAGAGATTGGAATACATAGACACTTTCCTTTAATAGTTTGTGACCCTGAACTAAATCCAGAACTTAACGTTCCCAGAAGTTCAAACACTTGCTGTTTAATGTATGTTGACCATATAACATTACAAGACCTCATAAAATATCAAGGTGTCAAATGTGAAGTGTTGCAAGGATACTATTACGATGGAAACAGAGATATTAGAATAAGAGATGAAGTAAAGAAGTTGTTTGAGTTAAGGTTAAAGTATAAGAAAGAAGGAAATCCTTTGCAAGAAAATATAAAGCTCATTCTGAACAGTATTTATGGCAAAACTATTCTATCTCCTATTGAGTCAAAAATAAACCATAGTAAATGACAAAGATGCTATAAGATATGCCATCAGAAACTACAACCATATAGTGAAGTTCGAAGGTTTGGATGGTTCAGATAAAACTATTTTCAAGCTAACGAAAAGCATTTGCAGACACTTTAACTTCTGTCCACTTGGTGTTAACATTCTGTCTATGTCGAAGAGAATAATGTGTGAAGTATTCTGTACTGCAGAAGATATGGGACTTCAAATATTTTACCAGGACTGTGATAGCATGCATATTTTCAATGAAGACATACCAAAGCTCGCAGCAGAGTTTAAGAAGAGATACGGTAGAGAACTTATTGGTAAAACATTAGGTCAATTTCATTCTGACTTCGCAGAAATAACACCTGGAAAACAAAGTTTAGCATACAAGTCAATATTTTGTGGAAAGAAGACCTACATAGACTTACTCACTAACGATTTAAATGAAGTTGCATTTCATGCACGTTGTAAAGGTGTCAAACAAGACGTCCTTGCTTTAACAGCAAATGAAATGTTTCCTGAAGCTATACAATGCTATTACAATGAAGATAAGAACATTCACATACCTGTTGGAACATATGACAAAGACTCTGAGTTCAGTTTAATGAAACTTTACAAAGCACTTTATGACGGTCAAGAGATTGGATTTGACTTATGTAAGTCATGTCAACCTTGCTTTGAAGCGAAGTTTAACTTCTCAATAACGACTAAAACAAGCTTTATTCGTAAGTTGAAGTTCTGAGGTCATTTATTTTTGTCAGCAATGAGGTCATTCGTGATAAAAATAAGCCGCTAGCGGCAAGGGCGAAGCCCATGTGGTCATTTACAATACTGCGATGGTAGAGTTTAAGAGTTGTGCTTCAATGTAGAGACAGTCCTTATGGTCTGGAGGTAAGAACACTGGGCAGTTATGGTCATGAGTGGAGAACATGTCTATCCAAAACTCACGATTGAAGCCAGTTAATTTATAGTATTTAGGGTTAGGAAGTGGTGAATTTCTTGTATGACCAATGAACTCATTTTCAACTCCCTTACTTAAGTTTGAATATAATATAGCTTGCTTTCTATCCCAAATGCCTGGTTAATTTGAAAATTCATTTTTCCTCGGAAGCATTGCATCATAATTGAAAACATTCTTGAAATCATCACTTGGTTCAGAGATTTGAAATCTTATACGTAATGGATTTTCTTTCTTTTAGCGACTTCATTGAATGGTGAAATATAACAAACTGACAGTCATGAGTTCCATCTTCATTTTCATTAAATTCATAATGAAAGTCTATAAGTTGTGGCTGACTACCTTCTTCTTTCAGTTGTGCAAGAAACTCACGTAAAGGCTGTAAAGTTTGTACTTCAATGTTGAACTTTTTCTCGAACATTTCATTAAATGAAATCATACATTGTTGCAATGTTGTATCGTCTTTAAAGTATTTGTATATGTGAATGTTTTGGGCGCTTAAAGACTGTTCGTCATTTTCTATCTCGACTTGAAGTATAAAGTCAACCTTTCTGAAAGCACGTGTTATATACATAGATGTTATGCCAATGTACTTCTCTTCATTTATGTTCACAATCCAGTCTGTTGGAAACTTAAACGTTACTCTGTTCCCCTTTATTTTGACGTCAGGGTTTTCACTACTGAACGCAACAGATAAAGGTATTTGTCTATACATTTAATTCGGATAAAAATAAACCATTTACTCTTTCTTTGCTTCAGCTTCTTTAGCTTTTGCTTCAGCTTCTTCTCTAGCTTTTTCGCCAGCAAATCTTTTGTCTTCCAGCAGCTAATGCAGCAAGTTGTTTTTCACTAAGTTTTCTCTTTGGTCTCTCTGGCTTTTGTTCTTGTTTTTGTTCCTTCAGTTCGGATAAAATTTGCTCACGAATTTCTTTCTTCAATGCTTCAACATCTATGACCCCTTGGGTCTTGTCCGTAGGGCTTGTCTGAGTCATTTGACTGCAGATAAAAAACAAAATTAAAACTTTAACCGATGTAAAATGAGCTTGTCAAAATCAGAGCGAGAGTCTATTATATTAAATGACGCAAGAGGAATACAACATCCTTTCTATTACGTAAGTCAGAGTAAAGATGGTAAAATATACGTAAGAAAAAGAAAGGTTCCATTAGCGAATGCAGAAAGCGACAACATTAAGGTGTATGGCAAGGGTGAAGTCCACGAAGCCCATATAAAACCTTCTGTTCAAACTGAAAAGTCAATAGAACCAGAAGAAAAGAAGCCAGATGTACTTTCAATAACGAACCAAGAGCTTATTGCAAAGTTCGTGAATTTCATTGAAAAACAAACCGAGTCAAAGAACCCTGACCCGCCAGTGAAAGAAGTTGAGACAAAAGAGAATGTACAGTCATTGCATTGAAAATGTCAAGAAACAACTTCCACCACGAATGCCAAGAAGAAGAGTGAGAATAATGAAGTAAATAGATATTTT